AGGCAGAAAGCTCGCCAGCTCCAAAGCACAGACCTGTAGCTGGAACACCTGCCCTGAACGGATATGTGGAACGGACTCGGAACGCACCTCTGTGTTGTTAGCAGTGTCCGTTGGAGTAGCTGTAGTGGCTGTGCGTGACAAGGGGCTGTTCTGGGTAGACTTCACTATGTTCATGGCAGCGTGACCTCCGGGAGGTAAGAGGCTGGAGGTGAGCAGGGGGCTGTGCGAGCGTGTGGCTGTGTGTTTAATCTGTCACTGCACGCTGAAGAATGGGGGTTGGAAGTAGGCAGCTTCTGTAAGCACTTAACATTCCTGATTTCATTTGTCTTTGATCTCACATTGACTAATTTTACTCTTTTCTGATCCTTTCTCTTGAAGAGGCTTTTATCTCAGTGTCAGGCTTGCTAATTTAGTGCGGTGTTTTGATCCAGACCTCCTCCTACATTTCCAGAGCCAGGAAGGTATTTTTCCCGTAATCAGGGAGTGTTACACAGTTCTTTGAACATCTTAGGACAAGGGCTTTTTGCAATGCCAAGTCCTGGTCCTGAGCCCTGCTGCTCCAGTCTCTGTATGTGCAAAGGGCCTGTCCCCAAAAATTTGCGTTTGAGGCCAAAGTGGCGAAGGGGGCTGGCTGATGTGGGGCAGGTCTGTGTTTACCTACCAGAGCAGCCGGGTGTCAGTCGGAAGCCTCCCAGGCTGCGATGAGTGACAGACGGTGATGGGTTGTCACGTGTTTGGCCTTGTTGTGGTCTTTTGCCAGGTGCTCAGTTTGAGCATTGAGGGTTGTCAATAATACATCTGGGTTTTCACTTGGCTTTTTTGTCTAGAAACATCTTGGATGCTCCTGAAATAAGGGGCAGTGGTTTGAGTACGGTCACGAGCTGCCACCGTCGCGTGGAGCCTGTGTTGCTTGGGGATGCAAGTAGAAACATACTGATACCCCGGAATTTGGTTACTTGTAAATAGCTTCTGGTGTTACTGGGAGAATTGTGTGGTTGGAACAGTTTTCCAGGAAAGGACTGACTGTTGCTCATTAAAGATATTGTGCAGTGATGTGTGTGTTGGTGTGAAGGCGTGAAAGAAGGCAGCCTCCTCCCGTGGATGTGCGATGGTATCCTCACGACCAGCGCAGCAGGCGCACCAAGTGTTGATGGTAGATCACTCCGGCTGCTCGCGGAGGATCCAATGCTCCTGGTGTTGGTGTGTTCCTTGGTGAGCACGCTCCTGGGCTGTGGCAGAGCCGTCGTCTGTGAAGTCCAGTTTCAACCGCATTCCCTTCCAGTGGTGGTTTCAGCGCTGGTGGTAGAGCAGAGAGGGATCTGAACCAGGCTGTTGGGCTTGGCGTGGGTGAGCTCTGCAGTCTGGCGCCGTGTTTTGCAACTGGCCTGTTTTTCTCTAACGTACCAACCAGGAGATGGATCCGGGTAGGTTTTGACTCTGGGGGAAAAGAGCTGGGTGATATTTAAGGGTATAGAAACATCATCACTTGTTTTTAAAAAGCAAGCACTTGTGTTGTGGTGGAAAGGATGGAGCTGTCTGTTCTTACCCTGCTGCAAGCAGGTTGAGTTGATTTTCAAGGGATTGAAGTTTTGAGAGGCTGATAATCGCTTCTCTCTGACCTGTACTGGCGTGGGAAGCTGCACTGCAGAGCTCTGCTCTATTCCTGGCTGCCTGAGTCAGCCAGCTGTCCCCTCACGCTTCACCTTTGGAAGAGAAAGGAGTATTTTCAGCAAAATGCCATTTTAATTGCTGTCTGAAGAAAATAGAAAATAGGACAGATACACGGGCTCTTTCCCCAAGTGACGGGCAGGAGTGCCTGGCACAGAGCAGGAGCCCGTGGAGAACACGGAGGCAGGAGGGCAGCTCGTGTGTGGGGCGCAGGTGGCATGTGGGATGCCCAGCATGCGGAGCCAGCTGATCCCGCGTGGCTGTGCCCCCCCAGCCCTGCTGCGTCGCGGGAGGGTCGGTGTAAGAGGCATGGGCAGCGTTGGTGCCCATGGTGCTGGTGCTGCACAAGAGCTGTCCGAGGCACGTCGATGCATCGCTGCTGGCAGCAACGTGGAAAGGAGTGGAGGGGAAGGATGCAAAGAAAAAGCTGGAGCCGTTGGTTCAGGGGACTGACTTGTCACCTGTGTTAATTCCTTATCTCCTCAGTTTCTAATGCGCTTCTAAAGAAACAAATTTAAGGAAAGGCAGAGGATTAAGACTTCAGCCAACAAAGTTTCAACATCTTTGGAAATAAGGTCTGCGTCACATGCCTGAGCCTTGGCCTTGACAGCCCTACCTCCCTGGAGGTGCTGTACACAGGCTGGCTAAGCCCCGTGTGATGCTGCCAGGAGCACTGCCACGGGAGATCCTTCAGAGCAGCATCTGGATTGTGGCTGCTCCACGGATGGGGCTTCTTGGGACAGTGTCACGGCTCCCAGTGTGCCTCCTGTCCTTAGCTCAGCTGAGTTTTCCCCAGCCGCAGGCTGTTAACCCTCTCCTGTGTTTGGCCATGTCACCTTCTGCACGTTTGCTGGTAACTTGCTCTGTGCTTTATTTCTCCCTCTTTCATACAGTTTTTTGTACTGGCTGTCTTGGCTGGAAGCTTTCCAGTGACAGTGTCTTTCCAGAGCATTTGGGGCAGCCTTTCAGCTTCATGTTCCCTACTTCTAGCCTCCTGTGGAGCCAGGGAGTGAGTTTTGTAGCTTGCTGGGATCCTTAAAGAACTAATCTTCCCTAGGAGACGTGAACGGGCAGAATTGCCCTTATAGGAGGGCATTTGGTGGCAGTCCCTGCAAAGTGACATTCCTCAGCTGGTTCCCTGCCTGAGGGGGCTGGGAAGCCGGGAACATGCCAGGGCTGTGCTGGCTGAGAAAGCCAGAAATCAGATTGCAGTGTGTGCATGTTGGGAGCTCGATGGCGTCTGCCGTTCCTCGCTGTGCCTCCTTCCTGCAGACTGCGAGTTTGCAGCACAGTGGAAACATCCGTGCAGGGAAACCCCAAATCCAGGGACTTGCAGGCAGCTCCGCATTGTACAGTGCCTGGTTGTTGTGCGGGCTGTGTGGCATGGTGTGGAATGGGCATCTCTGCATCCTGCTGGGATTTGGCTTTAGGGGGTGGGAGAATGGACCACCTAGTGAAGATGAGGGTGCTTGGGGCATGATCTGTTCTATCCTGTTCAGGGCTCTTGGGAGACCATATAGGACCTTCCGGTACATGAAGGGACTGACAAGAAATCTGGAGGGGAACTTTTTCCAAGGGCAGGTAGTGACAGGACAAGGGGTAATGGGTTTAAACCAAAAGAGGATAGATTTAGATTGGATGTAAGGAAGAAATTCTTCCTGCAGAGGGGGGGGAGGCACTGGGACAGGTTGCCCAGAGAAGCTGTGGATGCCCCATCCCTGGAAGTGTCCAAGGCCAGGCTGGATGAGGCTTGGAGCAACCTGGTCTAGTGGAAGGTGTCCCTGCCCATGGCAGGGGGTGGGACTGGATGGGCTCTAAGGTCCCTCTCAACCCAAGTGTTTTCTCATGCCTGATGATGATGGCAATCAACAGGCAGGGGACAGGCAGGATTCTCGTGTAGCCTCCTTGTCACTGAAGGGACATCAGATAGCCAATGTCAGGTTCTCGGTGGCCATTCCGTAACCGACAATGATCACAAAATCTGAGAATCACTAAGGTTGGAAAAGACCTATAAGATCATCCAGTCCAACCATCAACTCAACACTGCCAAACCCACTAGACCATGTCTTCAAGCACCGTGTTTACATGTTCCTGATGGCAAACCTGATGAGTTCCTGTCCCCACAGGCTTGGGTGGGCACCAGATCATCCTGGCGCGTGGGCAGGGTTAGGTTTTTCCTCCCGGGGGCACCTGCAGTTTCCGGCACACGCCTTGAAATAATTCCGTTTCCCTGCATGTGTAATTTTGCGTGTCATTGCCCCTAATTGCATGCTTAACACACTCTCTTTTAAAATACAGCCCTTTTATCAGCAGTAGGTAGTAGCAGGTTTAATAGGGTGTTTGAATTCCTATAAAATTAATCTGTAGCCTTCTGCGATAGGAGACGGGCAGGGAGCCATGTGGTTCATATCCAGTGTTGATAAACTTGTTATAGAGGCAGGAAACATTTCTGATTGGAGCAGTGACAAAATAATTTGGAGCGGAGCCATAAAAAGAGTGGATGGTGATGGTTTGAGCACAGCAGAGATTGAAATTGCTGGTGTGTGGAAGCAGCGCTGCCAGCTAACATTGACTTAGTGTCTCTGGAGAACTCTAACGGCAAATGCATTTTATTAATGGCAATATTCTTCTAGGAAATGCTGAGCCTTGTTTCAGAGGTGGAGCTTTCCTATGAGTATGTGGGTTTGGAAATCAGCCAGATCAAGACCTGTTCAGCTCAGCTCGCTGGTGGTCACTGCTCCGGCCTCCGGCTGCAGCAGGCAGGTTGCCTAAGGGCTTGTTTTGGGTAAGACATGATGTGACTGTCCATTTGCAGCTGCAATATCCTTTCTCTTCTAGTGGGGAAAGTGCATCCGTCTGTTCTCATTCTGGACTTAGCTATATGGGATAAAACACTCGGAGACAACAGGTCACATTTTTAGCTGTTCTTTTGTTGGCTTTCCTTTGAAACAAGTCTCCCAGTCTATGAACATTGGCAGCAGACGCTGCCTTTTTGGGTTCCCAGCTGGGGTCCAGCTCTTTGTGCTGCTTCCCCCTAAGGGTGTTGTAACCCATCTCCTCTGAAGGAGTTTGCTGTCTAGATCTTGGTGCCTTGGCCTTGTGACCACTTGTGCCCCTGTAGCTGGGCACCATTGGGGTAGCAGAGATGGTGCAGGCTGTGAGATGGAGAACGTAGTGCACAAGTGTAATGAGAGGTGCTGGTCACAGGGCTGAATTTCAGCTTTTCTCTCCAGCCACACTCGTGGAGAACTGTGCTTGCTTTGCTGTGTAAAACTGGGATGTGATTAACCAAGGAAAGCAACCCCCACTGCAACGCTGTCTTTTCTTTGCAGGGAGGCTGTTGGAAGGGGATTCGCTGGAGCTGAGCTGTAGTGCTGGTCCTGCAAAGGTGATACTGGAGCCAAACCAAGTCGTGGTTTTGGACTGTAACCTGGCCCCTGTTGAGCAGGTGATCAATATCACGTGGAAGAAGAATGGGTTTCCATTAGTGGAGCAGGAGCATCTCCACGTGCTTCCGAATGGATCACTCTTCATCTCGTCCCAGGCTGTGGCAAAGGACAGTAAATATCCTGAGAGGGCTGATGCTGAGGGTAATTACTCCTGCGTGTCTCATAGCTCCCTAGGGGCTGTCACCAGTCAAACGGCTGCAGTCAGATTTTCAAGTAAGTGTTGTGGTTTGTTTCTTGATTATTTTCCCTTTCCTCCCCTTCCTGGTGTTTGTATAGGCCATCTGCCTCCCAGAGTTGGGGATAAAGTGTCTATAAAGTGAAATTGTATTAATGATGTGTAGGTAGGATTTGGGATAGTCCACAAATAAGCAGTGGTGTCTTTCTGTTATCCCCCTGTAACATCCTGTGAAACTCTCCCACATAGGTGCCATCAGCCATGAATGGTCTCTTCTGGGTTCCCTGGTGAATATTCAGCGCGGTTTGGGAAGGAGTGTGGAGGGAACACGGGGAGTTAATGCTGAGCGAGGGGTGGTGGGCAGCGGACAGAGCCCAGCGGCTGCAGCTCCCTCAGTAGCTGGTGAATGCAGTCGGTGCCCCTGGGTTGGCTCCGATGTTTCCACAGTCAGAATTCACCCCATCTCAGCACGGTGCAGATCTCTGAACTCGGGGGAAAACTCTGGCGAAGAGCAGTGCAGGAGGCTGGGACAGATGGCTGTCTGCGTGACAGTCTGCTGCTCTGTTTCGTGTCAGGGACTGTCTCGTGAGGTGAATAACTCTGGAATGGAAGAGACGAAGAAAGGGCTCTTCAGGCTGTTTTTCCTTTCGGTCTCTGAGAAGTGACACTCCAAGTTCTGAACTGTGGAATCTTCAATAACAAAAATTCCTTTGTATTCAGGAATGGCTCCGGGAGGTATTTTAAGTGTGTGAGTGCCAATAAATGATTCCTTGACCTACCAAACAATTGAGGTTAGAAAATACTGCACATGGAGTACCAGCTCTCCCTAGTACAGTGCCGTACGTGGATGCTGATGAATGCAGCTGCCCAGCACACCATCAGGACCGAGGGGCTTCTGCGCTTGCTCAGCGCTGTGCTGGGTGAGGATGCAGAGTGGATGTCCTAACACCCACTTTACACTGTGTTGTAGTTAACCTCTGGTTCCCCCAGGCAGCGTGGTCCAGGTTTGGCCTGTGTTTCAGTCTGTGAGCACTGTGCCGTAGAAACCAGCACTCCTGATGGAAGGTGAAGCTTTTTGCCAGATCAAGGGAAAATCTTTGACCTTTTCTGCTGAGAAAATGTTTTGCATGCGGCACCCACAGATTGCTGGACACCCATCCCTCCTGTTCATCCTTTCCGTGATCTGTAGTGCTGGATAAATAGCTGCTTCCAGGGTTTCATTAAGCGAAGGGACCCCTGAGGGCTGCGAAGATGGAGTCTGGGATCCTGCACGCAGATACTGGCTGGGGAGGTGGGAGAGCTGAAGTAGAAAAGGCATCGGTAACCCAGGATTTATTTGGCTGCTCCTGCCCCAGTCCCATCCACCCTGAATTAGGATATATTCCCTTTAGGCGTGGTGTGTTTGCGCCATGCCGCTTGCCCGGTGGCAGTGGTTTGTGCCTCTGTTACGGACTTGGGTTTATTGTTTGGTGTCTCACAAGTGAGAACGGTGGAGACATCCCAAAAGCAGGAGACTGGCTTAAATCGCCCTTCCCTCCCCCTGGATTTTTCCAGAGGAGCGTACATGGGTGACGCGTCTCTCTGTCCCATTCAGGGTTTCTCTCCAATCCGGGGAATTTCAGGTGAACTCTCTCCTTGTGCGTATTTACACGTCTCCTTTTGTGACCATCTGCAGAGGGACAGCGTGTGTCTGTGGCACACGGGCGCCTTGTTTCTGAATGGAGAGCAGCGAGGGAATTGATTAATGAAATGCTTCTCTCGCTTCGATTTGTTTTATGGGTTGGGCAGAAGCACTTGCTGCATTAGCATTCAGCTGGTGCAAATGAGAACTGTAAAGGCCTTTTTTTTTCCCTCCTGCCACTGAATACAGTCATCTATCCGAGGCTGTTTACGTGGATGGAGTTACTCTTTGTGCTGATCGCCCTGGGCGCTGCTGAGCAGTACGGAGCAGTTCGAAGGAAACCTGTGCAGCAGGTGGGATGTGTTATCCCTGCCATCAGCCTGTACTTCTGACCCACAGATCCTTCCTGGGGCTCTGGATCTATCCATGGTCGGCCATCCACACCTCCTGGCAGTGGTGGCTGTGGCAAATAAGGAGGAGTGAGCCCGCGATGGATGGTTTGTGGTGTGAGCGTCCCTGTTGAGGGAACAGCTGCTCAGGCTGGTGCATATAAAGCATTTAATTTTCAGAACTGTACATACTTTCTCAAGCTAACACTGCGGTAAAGCGCGCATGCACGGCTGTGTGTGTGATGCAAAACAGATCTGGGGTCCTGTAAAATCCAAAGCGATGATGGATTGGGAAACGCTGGTGGGCCACGCACAGGATTCTGTCGGAGGACCAGAAGGTCACTTGGGGTCCTTGGAAGCCCAGGGCTGTGCTTGGCCCTGGTGAATTAGGTTTGGGCTAATGAATGAGATAGTGGGTTTCTCCGAGCCTTCTGTGCTCCCACGTGGAAATACCAGGAGCGTTATTTTAGCTGTGGGAGGGTGTAGCTTTCTACCTGTTAATAACTACATTTGTGAAGATTTGTTAAAGCTGTTAATTCAGCTTAAACATTTTGTGTGAGGGAGGTTCTAGAAAATTACAGTAATTGTGACTGTCAGATGAAGACGTTTGCTGTGCCTGGAGGGAATGGGCCCGCGTTGCGTGGCTGCCGGCAGCCAGCGC